GTGTGCACGCGCGCATTTCTACAATTGTTTGCTCAAAGGAAGGTACGTGAGCACTGAGGGACTGTCCTCTAATCGGGTGTCAGTGAGGAAAAACTTGATATTACCGGAAGGTCTAAAGCGTTCGCTAAAATTCCAGACAGCTCTTTCCAGGGAACCGGCCTCAGTGGCACAACGGTTAGGCGCTTAGCTGCCGCACACAGGAGACCCGAGTTCAATTCCCGAGCGGAGAGAGCATTTTTTATTGAAAACTTCGGTCTTTCTTCTGGGAATGTGTATCCTTCTCAGCCCGGGTTGACCCTGACAGACAGGGTCGAAAGCCTGCCCCTTAGATGATCTAAATTGTGTCCAAGAGGACGCAAAAACACCTTTCCACAACGGCTGCAATAATTACATGTATCAGGACTCGTTATAAGTGGACTCCACTTTACTTAACTTCTAGTTAGGGGAAAGGAGCTCTCCATTTCCCTGTCAAGTTTCTGTTGGTTGAGTTGGGGGTTAACTGGGGAATCTCTGCTCACCTACGGTACTCACTCCAAGGACAAGGTTCTCTCTTTAGTCTTTGATAAAAAAAATCAACAGGGTTGAGTTTACGGTTTGGAGAACGAGGTAGGCTCCATTGATCGATCTTTCACGCTTCTATCAACACAGTTTAGATACATGTAAAGAGTGATCCAAAAGAAAACTGAACAACTACTTTTTTGAATATCTCGCACATAAATTTGTACTAAAATTTTGTAATTTGGAACATATAAAATTAACACAAAAGGAATTCGTTTGACATAAAATTCATAAAGAAAAAAACCTGTTTTCAATACTGGAAAAGGCTTTTTTAAATTATAAAAACCACCTATAAATTATAAACTCAAAATGCACCAATTTAAAAGATCTTGTAAGGAGAGTCATGAAATGATTGGTTCGTTTTTTCCCCTTCCATTTCTTTTTAAAATCTAAACTTTCCACCCCTTTACTTTAACATTTAAACAATATATCTTTTCTCTTACAAAGTTTTAAAAAAATATTTGTAAAATCCAAGAACCAGTGCTCTACTTGACATTATTGACACCGTCATTCTTTTGACTCGACATATTATTATTTTAACCCGTCGTTCGTGATGTTCAGTGGTAGCCTAACTTCCTAAAACAAGGATCCACCCCACCATGAGTACTCAAAGCCACACACACTGTACACCTTACAATATGGGGTTGTTTCTAGAGACACATATAGGGGGTTGGGATGAGGTTGACAAAATAGGACAGCATTTGTGGAGTTAACATAATATCATCCTGAGAGGTGAATATGGGCTACGCCAAGGAACCAAATGTCATAGAGGAAAAATTTAATGTTCACGCTTTTCAAGACAATGGAGGAATCGTGAACACATTGCTGTCCTTTGATCCATGTCAGCTTCGAGAACATGAAAATGGTACAGTCGTAGACGAAGATCTACCTTGAGAATGCAGACCGTTGATATGTAGGAAAGTCCTAGCTGAAGAAATTGTCTATGGACAGACGTCTCCCCACCTGGGTCTCGTACGTGCGACGGTCGAAGCGCCTTAACCTCTACACCACATTACGCCGGTTACAAACCCGAGACTGAGAATAAGAGGGACCCGGTACCTCACTTCTAAGGAGGGCCGAGTAACAGGTTAAAATAAACTCACTTGCTCGGGAACTGAACTCGCGTGTTTTGCGTTCATTCAACGACAAAGAACCTAACCAATACACCAGTCTTCAGAATAATTCTAAGTTCTACTTCTAATTAAAATTTGAAGTGAGCCATGCTTTAGCTTATGTTAGTCAAGTTAGATTCGGTAAGGGATTCTGCTCCTCTTTCTTCAACAAAGTATTACAATTATTGTCATTGTGGTGACCATACTTCAAACATTCGGGAGGGAGGAGAGAGGTGTGGGGTTCAGGTCTGGGAAACGAAGTGGGTCCGATTGATTGTTGATTGTTTGAGGAGAGAGTCCCAGTCCCTTGCGGGGAAGTTAATTTTATCGAGTATCTTGGTCTTTTTTTCTGGGTCGGCCCTGACATGCACTTTTGAAGAGCCAACCTCCTTAACTATCAAATTATTTAAGATTGTAGAGCATGGACGTAGAACTTTCTGTTGACCGGAAATTTGCACTATATGAAAGATACTTATTACAGTAGGCCCTACATTACATGTATTATTAAATTACGTCAATTGGAGTATAAAACCTTTACAATCAATCACTTTCAGTCAATCACTTAATTTTGCCAAAATATCGCCCCGCCATCGGATCAAGATTGATCTGGAACCAGCGTAATCGATTAAGTGCAGAAGGCCATTACAAACACCTTTCTAAATTGGACTTGGTCCAACAACCAGGACCTCCCTTGCTCAGTATCACGGGTACGTCACAACAATGGTCCAGAAGTACAAGGCGGCCCACATGAGTGGGCTGACTCTCAATGACTAGACCCTCGATGACCCGGATGTGTCACCTCTAACCTCTAGCCCAGAGGTTGAATTTTTAAAATGACATCCAATTGTTTACTATCGATATAGTGTGATCTCGTTTCACTGTGTCATATTCAGCCCAGTTCATACTTTGATGTTGTTGGTTCTCACTGTTCAGTGAAAACGAAGTCGTCGTGTTTGACCTTCAATTTCGTTGGATCCGAGTGTTCATTAGGGCAATATAAGTAACACCTTGCGTCATAATGTACGGCTTAGCAGACGGCAACGTCTGTTTCCACAGACCAGCTCGCAATTCATTATGTAGATATTTACATCTATGTCTAGACTGGCCTTTCACTTTCATTGCCCAGTAGCCACGGGGTTAAGAGGGCAGATATGATTGTGACTGACGCGCCTGTATTTTTGCGGATTTTCCACGCCCAAAGCGCTTGTGCTTACGCTCCCCTCCTCCTAAATCCCCTCAGACGCAAGTACTAATAGCCACCCGACCGACCTCTCTTGACCCTGGCACACACGATCACGGAGACACGCCATGTCTTACGCGCGTGTCAACAACGCATGTGTTGTTGTGAAAAAAGGCTACTGATCGGACGCATAGGATGCAGGCCAGGATAAGCGGGTAATGATCACCGGTGCAAGGGAGATCGATGATCTCTTGGAATAGAGGAGAGAAAAGGTTCGTGGCAACTCGTTGAATCTGTGTTCGCTCATTTATATGTTTGTTGAATCCGGAGTTATTAGGTTGGTTTTGATGAATAAAAAACCCAAGGAATCTGTCTCCTTTAGTGTTTAAAAAGAGTTCCACACTGTACATTGTCCACCCTTAGCCCTTGTGCCCCACAACTTGCTTTTGAGAATTTCCTTCATAACGGTCTGTTGGCTTTTCATATGACCAAAGTACAGTCGAACCTGTGTAAGACGGAATCACAAGGGAGCCAGAAAAAAATTCCGTTTTAGACATTTTCCGTCGTAGACAGTGGAATTTAGGGGGAAATGGAGGGGGGGGGGGGGGTTCAAAGGCCCAGCCGGTGGGATCAAGGATCGCTTGCCCGATCGGCAGGCAGTGGTCAAAACTTCTCACCTCTCAGCTGCTATCCTCTCTGATAATGACATGCGTCAGTCTTTCTTATCCAATTACAACCAGTGCTTGCCTTTCTGTTAGACCTATTAAAAACAGAAACGTTTGAACATCCCCTTTGCTTCCACCCTTAGCCCCACCCATCGGTGTAACAAGCACAGTCAACCAATGCCATCCCTCACTGCCATCATAAAAACGGTTCGAGGAACTCTTTTCTAGGCTGGCGTACGATCAGGGCGGCAGGCATTGGTCAAACTAATTTCACACCTCTGGCTTCTGGGTACCCAAGAAAGTTTCCGTAGTGGCTCACTACTCGAGCACTCTCACGGGCAGTCGTGAGATTTCACACCCACACTACACTGACCATCTGCATCGCTCAGGGCTCGCATGATGGGGTAACATAGGGTAACATCTACCCCCAAATTGCACCCCTACTTCCCTTCCTCGCCTTGCAGCATGGCCATGGTGTTAAGTTTAGAGCCGGCGGAACCAAACTTGCGAGTTTTGTTTCAAATCAGGGCTGAGGGGTAAAGCATTTTCCGTCTTAGACAGGTGAAACCTTAGGAAGGGAGCGGATTTTTCTTTCCGTTTCCGTTTTGGACAGGTTTCCCTTTTATACAGGTTATTAAAGAGGAATAAATCTAGGGGGGAGCGGGGAGATTCCGTTAGACAGGTTTCCGTTTTATACAGGTTTCCGTTAAGGCAGGTTCGACTGTATTGTATTGTACTTTTCTCCTTTTCATTGGCGTTTGTCTTGTGTGGAGAATCTGATACACGCACTGTTTGATATGACATTATGGGTTGCCTGGGTCATTGTGTAAAACAGTGGAGATATCCCTTCTATCAGCATTGCAAGGCAAATACTTTGATAATAATATGCATGTTATAATGACAACATGCATGTACATGTAACAAAATGAAGAAGTCCATAGATCGCTTTACAAGAATTGACCCTGAAGACTGAGAGATATAAAAAGCAAGTCATACATTTATTTACAAATAATGAAATGAGCACTGGCAGTGACAATAGCTTTCTGGAAAAATGTGAAGAAGATGAGTTGTTTAGGAAAAGGACTTAATCTTAGTATGAGTAAAAAAAAAGCATATCAAAACATGATATCTGTCATTTAGGGAAAAAGCAGTGTTCCTTAATTAATTAAGTAAGCATTTTATGGCAACACAATTAGGTCATATAACTCATAAATGCTAAAGATTAGAGGTATTACTAGAGAGTAACATTCAAACAAAAGAAGGGAGAGAGAGACAAGTACGATTGATGCTGGATAGGAAAGAAAGGAAAAGGCAAGATAGGTAGAAATGACTGAAGGACAAAAAGGAAATAGGACCTACAGTAGTGCCCTGAAAAATGATAGGCCTTGAGGACATAGGCTCATAATAATGTTCAGAGGGCAAAACCAAGAGGTCAACATACAGAAGACCTGTCTGCACCTGAAAGAGAGGTGACAAAAAACCACTACAGCTACTTTAAAACGTTTTTTTACTGTCAGTATTTTTCATGCCTTCATCGACACAAATTATATCATTTAGAAGGCAGGCTTCTGACCCTGCCTGTCAGGGCCAACCCGGGCTGACAGGGATACAACATCCTAGCACAAAGACCGGGACACTTGATAAACATTTTCTCTCCACTCGAGAATCAACTAGGGTCTCCTGAATGCCCTAGCAAAGCACCTGACCGTTACCCCACAAGTGGTAATCATGAGAATGTTCAGAGGATAAAACCAAGTGGCCAACATGATACAGTAGACTGGTCTTCAACTGAAAGGGAGGAGACAGAAAATCACTACAGTTGACACTCCCCGAAACACCAAACTTTGGAAGGGGATTGTTGATCAGGGATGAATGGCACAGTTCATTGCCACACCTTTATAATTGAACACACAAACCTGGATGAGAATGAAATAGAAATTACAAAAAGAAAGGTCATTTATCTACATCCTCATAGGGGTCATGAAGACAATTGACATTGTCTGCTGAATGAGAATCATACATGACCCTCAAATGATGCAGCAACTGTTCCACTCCAAGCATTTTCTTGGCAGAGATTCCCATCACTGGAATATCCTGAGGTACACTCTTATCAGATTTAGATGTCTTCGTTCTGTCTTCCTGTAACCGTGTTTTCAGCTCCTCTAATCTCTCTTGAGCCCCCGGGACATCAATCTTGTTACCCAATAATAGATTGGGTCTGTCTGCTAGGCCAGGTTGGTACTGGTTCAGTTCATATCTGTGGAAAGGTGAGAACAGCGTCAGCAGATTCAGGAAAGAAGGTCCACCAAGCACAATTAGTAGCTTCACACATAGCCACCACCACTGCAAGCTGGAAGTTATGCATACAGTAATCTCCAACTATGATCCCATCTTTTATTAAAACAAAACAGAATTTTTGCTTCACAAAAGTCAACCCTAACATCCTGCTCAGAAGGCACTAAATTTGGCTTAGGTCCCGCATTCAAGATCAGTTTACTTAGCAAAAACACTGGTGCGCTCAGCTTATAAACCAAACAGCCAACATTTGTGATTATTGTAGGCCCTACTGCCTAATCACATCTACATTATAAATCTTGATGAGGGGGTTCAATGTTTGCCCCAGACAGGATCATACCAAGGAGTGAATACATCAACACATCTTGTGCTTCCCAAACATTGCACTCCCATTTGAGCCCTCTGTCTAAACTTTACATAAAATGCTGGGAGGCTGAGTGGGTAGGGCCTGTAAGGCAGCACCACATCATATAAAACTGTGAACTTGTCAGTGCTTTTGTTTCCCTGACTATCGCACTTACAGGCTTGCCAACTTCTTCAAAACCCAATGAAGGTCGCGTAATTATAAAACATATCATGCACCAAGAAACAAATTTACATCCAGTGGGACTGGTTTTGGAGTGGTGTATATATGACAAGGCTCTCAAAATCCTGACTACTGAATTTGGGACAGTCCGAGGAAATCTGGGACAGTTGGGAAGCTTGCACTTATCTATCTGCTCTGCCCATGAATTTGCTAGTAAGACTGATGCTCATACTCTGGAACTGTCTGATCATCTTTTGAGTGATGTGGTCATCTGTTGGCAGCGAGCCTTCCCTTGATTCTTCAAATTTTAAAATTGATAAAACATTTTTTCACGACATCTTGACAGAATGAATGATCCAAAGCACTTTTGCAAAAATCTCCATTCATGAGAACAGATGGATGAGTAACATAAGTAAGTTCGTTAAAGAAATTACTCAGAATTATATTGATCCAAACTTTCCATAACTTTTAAAGCGGAAGTTTCTTTCCTTTTTTATTAATTCATTAAAATCAGACTTAAAACAGGAAGCCATAGTGCTAAACATACCGCAATTGAGCCAGCTGGTCCCATGGTCGCTCTGCCGAGAGGTCCAGAACATAGATAAGACAAAGGCAACGCTCGATGTGTCGCAAGAAGCTGATGCCCAGACCTTTGTTCTGGTGGGCACCAGGAATAAGCCCCGGGATGTCTGCCACTGTGGAACAGAAGAATAGAAGAAAGTCTTTCACACGAAAATGAAGTTCATGTGTCTTTGGTACGAGTAGGCACTATCCAATTAAGATGAATCGACAGCACTTGTCCAATGGCTTAAGATGGTTCTTTTTTCTTTAAAAGTAGGCGTTTTACACCCCCAATGAAATGATTTAAATCATTTAGAAAGCCGGCTTGCGACCCTGCCTGTCAGGGCCAGCCTGGGCTGAAAGGGATGCAATATTCCAGCAGAAAGACCAATACTCCATAAAAATGTTCTCCCCACTTGAAAATTGAACTTGGGTCATCTGCATGCAATAATGAAGCACCTAAGCGCTACACCACCGATGCCGATGTATGTTTTTTTTATCACAAAAGGATTTGAGGTACTCAAATTCATATTGAGCTTCAGTTCAAGCTGGGAATTGCAAGTTGCAGTGAGTGTAGCGGTATAGAAAGATTGAGAATTGGCATAGTGATACATCATGACCTGTTTCTTCAGTGAATGAATGTAAGTCTCAACTGGGGCAATTTTCTCCTATTCTACACATGTCAGTCTTGGGTTCATTTTTTTTCTCTTCAAAATGCTGCATTGGAGTACATGTTGATCATATATTGTTAACCCCATTACCTGAATCCTCGCCTCAGCGCATACTATTGTACCCTTTGGAGTATGTGGCGTCAGTGGCCTAGTGGTTAGGCTCTCGGACTCGCAACCGTAAGGTCGTGGGTTTGAATCCCGTCAAGGGCCCGACGTTGTGTCCTTGGGAAAGGCACTTTACACGAATTTCCTCACTTCACCCAGGTGGGAATGGGTACCCGGCTATAGACAGCGAAAGATCTTGTCAGTTTGTTAGTGTTTGAGCGCTTTAATCGGCTGCTTGCACTGTATGCTTCCCGGGAAGCTGAGAATGTTTCGGAATGTTCTATGGTCTGCTGGGGTAATAATATAGTGTAGAGCGCATAGAGCCTGCTGTTGAGCGGGGATATGCGCTATACAAATGCCATTTATTATTATTATTATTATTATTGGAGCATCCAAACCTACCTCGGCATGCTATGGTATAAAACCAGCTATTGTGCAAAGGGAACTCAAGTGCACAGGTCGTGTAGGCAGAGGGTGGTGGGCTCAAGGTGTTAAGAGTAACGTGGAGACAGTTGTTCTAAAAGTTTTACATACATTAGGATTATCTAGATTACTTAACCCTATCCATACGTCGTGTTTTACTATCGTATCCATACGACGTGGGGAACTCTGTGCTACCACTTTCCAAAGAGGAAATTTACTTGTTAATCCTATTCGTATGCTTTGCATAGCAGTCTGTCAAAATGATTTTTTGAGAAATACGGAAAGTTTCAAAGAGATCTTCGTACTAGAAATATTCTAAAATGTGAAGAATACAACCCTGGAGGTAGAAAATGACCCCAGGGTGTACGGATAGGGTTAAGACGCCTGCTTTTATCATGCTCATTTGATCATCATTACAGATGGAAAACAAGTAGAACCGATCTATTATTTCATTAGCCTTGAAAGAATAGAGCAAAATTAATTCAGCAATGAGATTTTTATTTTAGGATGTTTGGGTCTAAATTACTTGTGCCTTAATGCACACTTAAAATCAAACTGAATATTTGTAATTTAATGCCTTGAAGAAACCGAATTCTGCTGGAATTAATAAAGCGAATGATACTTTTCCGGTTTTTTATGACCAAAATAATGAACAACCGATTCCACATAATTTCTCAGACAAAAAAAGAGCCAAAATAAAACAATATACAGTCAAACAAGGATAACTCAAACATGTTGGGGATTGACAAGTGTGCTCGACACATTCAAAATTCGAGTATACCATAGTGCAGTGAAAACTCAAAGAGATATCAGTCGGAGAATAGCAAATTGTAGGAACTATCTGTGATTTTGACTTTTCCATGTTAGAATTATCTGTGCCCGATTGTATTCACTTCCAAAAAAGTAAATCTGTTTTTCATAGCTTCATAAGATACCTGCAATCTGTTCATGATCATCATACAGCACCATCCCAATATGTGGGTTCAAAGTGGTGAATGGATACGCAGACACCTTTGGTTGGGCCCGTGATATGGCCCTTAACAGCGTGGACTTTCCAGCATTGGGGAAACCAATCTGAAAAATGATTTAAAAAATCACAATGTGAGATGTACTACTTATACTTAAAAAAACAACATATTAAAAAAATAAAAGGAAAAAGTCTAAAGCTAGGAAAGAACAACAGCTCTCAAATAACAATTGAACTTATTTTGTAGCATTAACCTCTCCATGGCAGTCATCTGTACTAACGGCCACTGTTCAATGACACCATTGAGTTTTTCTTATATTTCTAACCTGTCCAGTGATTTCTGTCCAATGCAGCTTACATTAATCATTTTTACGTCAAACTGGCCTCAAAACCTGCTCATACCAGTCACTTGCCGCGAAAGTTTTCCAATGACCTGTCCTAAGACTGAGTGTGTACTTTCAAACAAAGCAAAGAAACAGCTGGGCTTATTGCCTGGCTAGGAATTACCCACTAAACAAGAGGGGGCAGGACTTTGTGCAGCGCTTACCTTATGACGTGCAAGTGTCCAGTGCACTGAACCTTTATGTTATAGTAGGTGGTTTACATACCATGTGAGAATTCATTTTCATATGTGTAGGAAGTGGCTACAACTCAATCCCCGTCAATAGCAACATGTCTATAACGGCCAATTTTCTCTGTGATCTTGAGTGACTGTTATGGACAGGTTCCACTGTACTTCCATAATATTTCTACTAATTGACAGCAGTGAGATGACTACAATCATGGCAACTGCACGTTTCCAAGTACAACAGGATTCACCTATCTTTTCCATTCCTTTGAAGACAATACCAAAGTTCTTTTTATATAAATGCACCCTTGAAAGTTTAAAACAAATGAAGAAACATTTGTACTTCGCATCCTCATAAATTAAAGTGTCCCATACCCTCTGTTTCTTTTTTCAAAAGGGCAAACTGATTAAATACTGAAAACAACCAAAGCAGGGCATACAAAAATTACAATTAAAACCCCAGCAGTACGTCCACACACTTTGCTTCAACTATATCTTTAACTGCTCCACCAGAACATAAAATGTTTCTACTTTTCACAGTTGTACCAAATGGCTTCCAAGCCATATTCTAACTGAAAAATAGACATACCATTTCTCAACTCAAGACAGAATACAGTTGAGCACAGATAAATCGAACATGCAAAACGCCAATTCATGGATAGCTCCACACACTGTTGGTAATTAGACGCATCATAGTATGTTACCTGTAGTATACATGAAGGTAGGTGGTGGGGTGTGATAAAAGACAGACAGTGTGGCACTGTATTGAGCAATGAAGTGCGAGAACTATGTTTGTGTATATGAGTGTGTGTGTGGTTGTCTGAATGTGAAGGTTTGGATCAGGAAAGGACCACACAAAACGGGTGTGTGGCGTGCTCTGGCAAGTGTTGGTTACATTGTTATGGTTTGTGATCTTATGTAAGAGCATTTTTTTTAGTTGTAAGGCTAATCTTCGATACCAAACATAGTGGATACACTATCCATCCTTCTGGTCTTTTATCGATATCAAGTACTTTTCATGATGGCAGAGTAGAGAAACTTTATTGTCTGACAATAGAAACCAAACGTCACATTCTAGCTGAAGCTGACAAGAAGTTCTGCACAAAGATGGAAATTTGTAAGAGGTTTAGTTTCCCCAAGTCAACCTTTTCCCTGTATCTAAAAAAATTGAGACAAAATTAAAAACCCAACAGAAAACAAGCTAGTTTTGCCATCTTTAACATCTCTCTCATTTTTCACTATCACAGTTTACTTGAAATACGATGTCAACCCCTGATGTGTTCAAGACATCCATGCAAGCCTGTACTATTTCAAAAACGAATTTACTGACCAGTCCAGCATGGGCCATGGTCTTCAGCTCTACCAGAAGCGTCCTCTCCTGTCCTAAGGCGCCCAGCTCTGACACTGTAGGTGCTCTGTTCTCATTGGACAAGAAGAAATAGTTGCCCTTGCCACCAGCCCCGCCTCTTGCTGCCACAAACAGTGCCTCAGGCTCATCCAGAGAAGCCAAAGTATTGCCAGTTTCAGACTTGATCACAGTGCCGAGAGGGACCTTAAAAATAAGTATGTACACATAGTTGGGTTTATTTTTCCAGCTCAGTTTTAATTGGCAAGATGCACACTCATATGGAACGAGCTGGGAAGGATGGCCCAGGACAGAGATAAATGGAAGGAGCTTGTACGTGGCTTATACCCTGCCAGGGGTGAAAGGCATTAATGATGACACCTACATAACAGTGGCAGTGTACTAGAATAAAAAAGATGGCAAAGAGAAAAATATACAGGACACGTGGGTAGGGGGATTGACCTTCCATTTGGTAACCTACAACACTCTTAATTCTAGTGTATTTGTTTTAGTCTTAGTAAGAGTTTTATGGCAATAACAACACAATAAAATCATATAAGTGCCAAAGATTTGAAGTGTAGCAAGAGAGTAACACACATAAAAAAGGAGGAGAGATCAGGACAATAGATGTTTGATAGGAAAGAAGGAGCAAACCACACCAGAGCACCAGCCAACCAACCGCAATTTTAGCGAGTGAAGAAATGTAACAAAGATTTATAAATGAACAATGTAACTCCAGCTCCAAACAATTTTTTAACTCACCTAGCACTAACACCCATAGTATCGGTACGAGCGCGAAACGCTCCAACCCTAACGCCGACAGTATTGGTATGGAAAATTTCATTCTCGTGACCGAAAACACTACTTTTGTGTGAAGCAGACTATAGCCTAATTGGAAGAGTAACTACTTCTCGTTTGAAACAGACTTATATTAACCAGAAGTGCAAGCCCACATTTAGAACAAAGAAAACTATTCGTGAACCATGAGAGGGGGTGCAAAATTTGAACGCACTTCCTTTCTTCGCTTTTTGTTTACTATACTATGTATAGACCATTTTCCACGGAGTATTGCATAAAAACTATGACATACTTTGCCTTCAAATTTTCAATACACACAAATAAAGGTTTTAAAAAATATGTACCAATTTTGGGGTGGGATATATGTTATGCTAAAATTTAGTATTTTTTTGAATTTTTCAAAAAGTGGTAAAAATCTCTAGGGAGAGCTGACAAGCTAGCATCTGCGTTTGTCATGGCCACGATTTTAGGCATTTTTAAATTACAGACGCGTTTTTGCATTAAAAAAAAGAAAAGAAGAAGAAAAAAGCCACAGACCGCCCCCCCCCCCCCCCAAAAAAGGGGGGGGGGGATAAAAATAAAAAACAAGCAAACAAACAAACCCTGAACCTCTTTACTTTTAGAAAAAAAATTAATTTTCACTTTCGCTTCACTTCATCTCTTTTTCACTTAATGACACCACTTTGATTTCTTATTTTCATGTGAAGAATACAAGTACATTACAAACTATATATTGCTATTTAAAAAAATGTTTCCCTCTTTGTTGGGTTTTAATTTGTTGGAGTGTAAATTTTTTTTCTTGCTATTGTTATGATGTGTTGTTTTTCTATTTTTAGTGTTTATATAGCGTAATGTCATTTAATTTGATGTAGTTCTTACTTTTTTTAAATATGTGGTAAGTTAAAGCGTGTCTCCACCAAAACCGAATACTAATACTGGCAGGCCCCTCGCGCGTGATTCCATAATTTACACGTAATATCCTGTAGCCTACCTTTTTAAAAATTACACACGTTTAGGGTTAAAACGGCCAATCTTCGGATAGGCGGACACACATTCTTATTTGTTAATTTTTGGAGTTATTTAGGTGCTGTTCTAATTTTGATTCCTTTCTGTTGTGAAACCTTTATTTTTCACCTTTTGCACTGTGTGTGGCAACAACTGATATTCCGGAAGCTTAAAACAGAGCATAAGAAATTTGGTGCTTTAGATTAAGTTACCTCTTTCAGCATATAGCTATATGTTGTCACAGAGAGTTGAAAGCTTGAAAATTAAAGGCAACTTTTGCCATTTTTTTGTGGCAACTTTTCGCAACTTTTGGACGAAAAAATGGCAACAAACGCAGATGCTAGGGCAACCCGGAAGAGTACGCCTTGGGCTGAGTGAGTTAAACTTGTGCACAAAGGCTAACACAGTCATAAGCAAATAAACAGTGGTTGCTGCTTCTTTCTTATCTTTCTATCATTTTTACCTCTACAACTTTCCTTAAAAGCCAAGGCCAAAATATGAATTAGCATAAATCCAATTATACAGTCAATGTATCCATAATTTATTTAAAAGAAGGGTCTACATTGATTGGAGTATTTGGAATGTCTTAGTGATTAATGAATAAATAAATCAAGTCCAAAGAGAGAGTAAGAAGGAAAAGTATTAAGAGACTCAACAGAGCTTCTATGAGTTACTTAAGATATTTTTGCACCTCATAAGCCGAACGTTTCAAATTGCACATATGAAAAACGGGGTCTCAGGACTGCACTCTAGTATGCAAAGAGTTACAGAGGGAAAGGGGAGAGGGGATAGAAATAGACAAAGAGAAATAGAATAGCATAATGGCTGACAGAAACAAACAATTTTACCAAGATTACAGGGTGATGTTCTGCAAGAAATTACCTGCAAAATATGGTGCTCTGCATTTTTCCCATCCCTGTGCTTTGTGCCACCTTTGACTCCATTTGGTGCACGGATCTCAGCCCTCAAGTGACTGAGGGACCTGTAGTTATGACTAGCTAAAAACATAAAGATAAAAGATATCTAGTGAACTCTATAAACACTCTGTCAAGTCGGAGAACAATTATATACATTTTCACAATCATCTTGCATGAATTACATTCAAATGATGATTCACAGTGAAAATAAACTGACAGATACATTAAAACAAAAGACACCCCCCTCCCCTAAAAACTTAATCACAGTATGTATAGATGTCAGGATACTTTTAAAAAAAGATAATGTTCAAGAGAAGTTGAAAGAAAAAAGAATAATAACATAACAGTTTAAAAAAAATAGTTTTAGTAAGTGTTTTACAGCACTTGCAACACAATTAAGTCATATAAGTGCCAAAGATTAGAGGTGTTACAAGAGAGTAAGAAACAAAAAAGAAGGAGAGATAAAGACGATAGATGTTTGACAGCAAAGAAGGAGCAAACCACACCAGAGCACCCGCCAACCACCCGCACTCTTTAAGCACTCATGCTCAATATAAATTATATAATAAGAAAGGTGGTGCTGATGTTTCTTGTAACTATAAACTAATCAGCAGCAAGAGAAGCAAACTAGTCCCAACAATACATTAGAACTTGGCTTAAAAATTCTTATGTAGGCCAAGTTTTCTCCAGTCAAATGATATCACAAAATTGAACCACAAAAGTTATTTGACATTGTTTTCTGCAGTCAAATGACCAAACAGAATAGAGTAGACAAAAGTTTTTTTACAAATGATAAATAGCTGCCCCCATTGAGTCAAATTAAAAAGGTACGAAAAATATGTGAGGCAGCGTGGTGAAATCAGACGGTAGTTAAAAAAAAGAAATCATAGAAATCTGTATTGCTATGGCTGCTGGGCAATTTTTTTTTTTATGCTCTTTTTTTCGCTCAACACCTTCAATGTTCATTTTAAAACACATTTCTGTGTGGATTTTACTGAAAAACATTGAAAAAATGGCACCAAAAAATGTAAATTTGCAGTTTCCAAGTTTACCTCTAAGCCAGGTGACACTCACCTCCTTCAATTGCAAATATCTTGACTTCTATTCTAGATAGATAGGCAATTTTTTTCTTAGAAAGCTTTCAGCTGATTTTAACTCCACATGCCCAAAAATTGACAAGCACCCGATTCCACCACGTTGTGACACATATCTTACGTCTGCTATAAGCAATAAGAGTAGAGAAGCTTTTAAAACCAATCAAAACCTTGTAAAATGACATGTCCTCCGTGGCCACCATTCCCACCATCTGGTCCTGCCCACTCATGATTTGGCAAAGACAAGAATGAGAGCATGCCATCACCACCTTTGCCACCAGCGACCAAAGTTTTCACGAAATCGACAAAGTAGTGGTCCTGTCAGAGAAAGAAGAAGACGTTGAAATAAAAGAACCATAAGAAATTTGCTCTCATTCCATAAACTTTTAGAAATTACAAAGCTTTACTGCCTGCAAAGTCTTCTCTGTTTGGGCTAAAGGGCAAATACTCAAATGCCACTGGATTAACACTAACACTGTCTTCTACATAGGCAACCAGTCTGTATCATGTAAAGTGGCAATCTTCTTCTTTACGCTCCCATGCTAGGTTTCAGGGGTAGTTGACTGCTGGTTCTTCAACTTGTAGTACAGCTGATTTTTACTTGTGACCGTTTTTTCAACTTGGAAGACATTCCGATATATGCTTTTAAACTGACGAGAGTATTATTTCCGTTTTGGCAGGAATTAATTTTGAATTTTGTCTGGATGGCGGCAGAACCCTACTCTTTTGAAATTAGTACCACCAAGGGATATTTAACATGTGCAACTTGCACACGAGACGTCAGAGATTTTTTGCCCTTATCTGACAAGGCTAGATTTTCAATCTTGCTCATCCAAAGATCAGCTTGTATTTGAAGGACAGCAATAAAGAGCCAAGAGAAGCAGAAAATGTAGAAAGAGTCAGGAGCAAAGAAGAGCGAGGAGTCTGGAGACCAGGGGCTAGGGGAAATAAAGTGGAGATGAAAGCAGGTGACAGAACAGAAGAAGGAGTGAAAGAAGATAGTTTTAGAAAAGAAACTTTCTCTGTCACTGTCAGAATTCGAACCCGGGACCTTATTGGGACCTTTTGAATGAGAGGCGAACATTGTATCTCTGACCGCAAGAGCCCGAAGTGGCAATAAGAAGCACAGGAATCTTATCAAGATTTCTTATATCTGTGAATGGTGCTGCATTTACACATAACAATAACATTCTAACTAATAACTAAAAGAGGGCAGAGAAAAATGTATAAAAGTCAAATCAGTGACATAACACTCGAGAAATCGGTTGTTGCATTTCATGGAAGTAGAATGAAATTAATGAATCAACCTCAATAAAAAAAAATTTTTTTAAAATTTATTAATCATTGCATTTCTATAGCGCATATCCCTGATCTACAGTGAGCTCTATGCACTTTACAATTACATGTTTGTGTATTACTATTACCTTCGCAGACTAACAATACCCAGAAACATTCTTGGCTTCCTGGGAAGCTGCAGATTACATGCGGCAAAACACTAGCAAACTAACAAGATCTTTCACTGTCACTGTCTATAGCTGTGATGCCATTCACACAGCAAAATAGGTTGTGTGGCTGCACTTCTCTAATCCTATGCATGCATTAGTAACTGTAACGACAGGCAAAAACCTTGCCTGGTAAAAAAAAAAATCTGGCCGCTCCCAAATTCTTCCACTCAGTGTACACAGCAGTGACTTAATTTGCAATGAAAATGTTTCTTGTAGGATAAAGGTTTAAATCAGGTTTGGATAATTTAGGTCCTATTTCATCAACCCAGTACTTTTGCTACAAAAGCAGTCCAGATGTCAAAATCTTAACCTCTGTCCCCAGTGCAGCAGAACAAGAATGATACAAAAGAAGCTTTGACAACTTCCTAACAGTCTTTCTGGTGATTCTTTGTACAGTGAAAATATCAAACCCAGGCCAAATACCAGAGAGAGAGAAAGAAAGAGGGGGGGGGGGGGGGGTGGGGTTTTTTCTGAACTCTTTTTGGACCCCAGTTTCCCTTGTCCAAAAAGAGAGCCACCGAAAAAGTGGAGAGAGAGAGAGAGAGAGAGAGAGAGAGAGAGAGAGAGAGAGAGAGAGAGAGGGGGGGGGAGAGAGAGAGAGAGAGAGGGGGGGGGAGAGAGAGAGAGAGAGAGAGAGAGAGAGAGGGGGGGGAGAGAGAGAGAGAGAGAGAGACAGAGAGAGAGACAGAGAGAGAGACAGACAGACAGAGACAGTGACAGAGACAGAGAACGAGAGGAGGGGGGGGTATGGAAAACTTGCAGTACAGCAATAGAACTCGTTAAAAAAATTACAATACAGTAGGCCTACTGTGGTCAAAACAACTTCAGAAAAATGTCTGAACGACTTCATTAAACATTATAACATCTCTTACCCTTTTTATTGTACCTTTGGCTTTGTGAGGCTTCACATGTTTCGCAGTGTACAACCTAACAAGACAATTGCTAAGACATATCTTTGGAAAAACTTGTAAGATGGAAGGAATAAAGCTGTGGTGTGTCAGATGCCTCACATTGCATTGCCTCATGATTTCACCTTTTTATCTTTTACTGCATCCTGAAAAGTAAAAGAAAAGAAAAGTAGCAAAAATATTATATATATATATATATACTCTTCAAAAAAAGAAACATTTAACCAAGTGCATGTGTTTTTGTGATAAAATATGTAAAGATGAGGTTTTGCGCAGGCTACTTTTTTCACACATATGTGTGAGTTGTTGTCTTGAACTTTTCACCACAAATTTCATTGTTTACTAACAGGTAGGCGCAGCCTGAGCTTTTGAATTGTGTGATGGTTGAGTGTTAACTCTTTAACAACCAGAAGGTTTTCCTCACCACGACCAGGCCCTATCTGTGACCTACTTTCTGATTCAGCCTGCCGTCGGATAAATTAAATATTTTTAAGTTCAATTTTCAATATTAGCGACATGTATTACGGAAATAAAGGGGAAATAATGACCTATCTCAACATACTGCTAAAAACGATCATTCTTCAGCCTAAGATTTCAGATTTGATTATTACAAAAGTAGGTGTAATTTTGAAGCCTGAAGTGGAGAGCCATGTAACATGGCTTGCGGTAGTGAAAGAGTTAAAAAGCTCACAACTTGTCTAATTTTGTGAGTAGTCGCACGAACTTTGGCGTATGAGTTCATTCACTGGGAGGCTATATAACGGGTGAAAAAATAGGTTTCATCACTTGTCAGTTCAGCGATACACCATGCCACGACTAACGATAGAAGAGCTTCTTCTTCTTCTTCCTCGTTCTCGATGACAGCAGCTAGACAGTCAGTCCGATGTCGTGCACAAACTGTGCAGTTTGCTTCGACTCTGAGAAACTGCCATAGAGCTTTCTCTCAAGGGGAGCCACATTCTGCCACATCAGTGTTCGAAGGGTGGCGTAGCGCGGGCAGTGTTGAAGGACACGGTTGGCATCCTCTTGGTCGAGTCCACATTCACAAATCGCTGACTCTCCCACTTTTAATTTGGTGTGAATATGGTGTTTGAGTCTGTTGTGGCCACTACAGTGTCAAAAGATTGTGACCTGGTCTGCTCTATTTAGTATGTAGTAGGAGTCATGTCTGTTGTGTTTAGGCTGGGACCTTTTCCATCTGTTTCTTAAGGCAGATTGTATTAGTGTTTTTGACTCTGAGAGATCCATGCCATCTTCAATCCGGGTCATTTTGGCTCCCTCATTGGTTAAGTCGTCTGCTTTTTCATTTCCATGAATGCCACAGTGACCTGGTATCCACTGCAGACTTGTGTTGGCTTGGGAATTTAGATCACATGGCAGTGAAAGGAGTTGTCGTACTTAAGCTGTTCGTGGCTTTTGGAGAGCTTGTAGGACAGATTTGGCATCTGTGATGATGACGGTGTTGGCTTTTGATTTTTGGTGATTCAAGAAAATGGTGGCTGCTGTTTCGAGTGCTGATGCTTTTGCTTTGTAATTGGAAGATAGAGATCCTGTGGGGATGAAATGACTTTCTGTTGACCCATCTATCCACTCTATGTAGATACAGTGGAAACCATATATAACAGGCCCGGTAATAACAGGGATCCGGTAATAACAGGGATTTTTGAAATCCCCATTTGTTCCTACTCTTTGTCTTTATTAAGAGTTATCGGCAATAACAGGGCCCCATCGGAGCCCAACCGGTTATAGCAGGGACAAAGGCTCGTTAACAATGAGTAAAAATTTAGAGAGAGAGAGAGAGAGAGAGAGAGAGAGAGAGAGAGAGAGAGAGAGAGACAGACAGACAGACAGACAGACAGAGTAACGCAGAGATGGAAGAAGCCCACACAAGCCATGCCACAGCAAGCAAACGCATCTAGCCCGAAACCTAGCAACACGCACCCGTACGTAATGTGTCATGAGCAGGCCTGCCGCATGGCTAAATCTGGTCGTGCGCAGAGCTTGTTTCGCAGTTCAAAGCACATACGCATGCACCACACCCCACTGTGACTGTTCACTAACAACAGACATATTTGTAGATCAAAGCTTAACGCACTACGTGGATGTACGGTTGGCCTAGATCTAAGCCTACTTCTTTCATTATGGCCACCAACAATGTCAAGCGCAAGAGAAAATGCCTTTCAATTGACAAAATACACGAAATAATCCAGGCTGTTGACAAAAAGCAAGCTCCACTGGCAGAGATTTGTCGTCAGTGTGTGTGTCGATTCACACCATTATCAAGGATAGAGGGAAGATAGCGGCAGTACACTCCTATATATATGGAAAGTGTGCTCTGGATCGAAAGAAGATAAGACTACCCGATGCAGATGCTGTTGACCAAGCTCTTCTGATGTGGTTTAAGGAGGCAAGGAGAAAGTTGGTGACAAAACCCCTGTTTCTTGGTACTTGAAGCAAGGGAAACTACCCATGAATAAGCACAGCTGGATTAGTCCACAAGTGACAAATGCTTACTTTCCTTGCATTTCTGATTTAACAGGGATCAGATGTAACAGGACTTTTTCTCTACCCCCACCATCCCTGTTATATCAGGTTTCCACTGTACCTCCACCGCCGTTTCTGACAGTATCAGTTGCTGATCCATCTGTGTAAACTCAATTCTACCGGTTGCTTGGGAAGTTTCTGTCCAGGTAGTCGAGCGTCAAAGACTTGAGTATTGGAGGAGGGACTTCAGATTTGGTGCCAAGCTTTTCTAGGTTCTCTCGAATTTGAGGGGGGGGGGATTAGTCTGAAGGGGGTGGACTTGATATGGGTCTAGTGGGGTTGGAGATTCTTCAAGAGAGATTTCGAGTCCAGAGCTGGAGTGTGTGGCCATATGGAGGAAGCTTGTTCTTTTTAAGCGTTTGCCCAGTTTTTTTTAAGATCTACCTTTCATTGGATGGGTTGGCATTCTTTTGACCTTTTCCTGATGAACAATCGCTTTGAGATCGCGTCTGCCTTTCAGGGGTTCTAGCCCCGTTAGTGTTTCCATTACATGAATGGGCGTGGATCTCATTGCTCCCGTGATGATCCGCAGATTTTAATTCTGGATTCTCGCTACTTTGTGAAAGTTGCTGTCTGATGCTGTTCCCTACATTGCGATACCATATTCCAGGACTGGGCGGACATATCCACGTAAGAAGGTGAGGTTTGCTCCCCAATCTGACCCTGGCTGCCAACTTTCTAAGCAGTGCTGTTCTTCTGTTGCCTTACTTCTGCACCTCTCTATTTGGGCTTGCCAGGTTAGTCTTTCAAACGTCACACCCAAATAGGTGGGATTTGACTCGTGTTGCAGAGTGTTTCCATCAAGATGCAAGTTTACCTTTCGGGGTTTTTTGTGAGAGACTGAATGTTGTGTACGTGGTCTTGTTCTTGTTGATCTTCTGTCCCCACTCTTCTGACCACTTCATCATGTTGTTAAGTGTGCTTTGGAGTCGTACCTGGGCTGTTCCTACTGATTCTGCCGATAATAAAAATAAAAGAGCGATGTCATCTGCGTACTCCGCTGCAGTCACTTTCTTGGTGATGGTGGTGGAAATGTCATTGTTGAGGAAAATCAGGAACAGGGTCGCTGATAAAACTCCCCCTTGTGGGACTCCATTACTGATTGTTTCCATTTTCCTTCTTTTTCCTTGCAGTTTCACACAGGCTCTTCTTTGAGATAGAATTGTAAGATCCATTTCATTGACGACCGTCTGATTCTTCCGCGTTCTGACACATTTGATATTTTGCAAAAAGATTAGGTTGAAATTTTCTAGAAAATAATTGATTTGCGACAGTTTTAGTGGCTTTATGTGTTATCTGCAGCAAACTACTGCAGTTTGACCCCCTAAGCAGTGCATCTGTTTGCCGGAGTGAAAATAAAAATTTACTTAAGTCTAAATGTTTATTAAGGCCAAGATCTAGAATCTAGATATCTCGATCTAAAACTAGATCTAGATTTAAATCTACATGCGTACACATTTTGTACATAACCGCCAATTAAATAGCTTTAATGCGGATAATGTGACGGTGGAGAACAGGTCTGCTGAGATGCCAAACATCACCAGCTCTCCCCCTGTGTCCATGAACATCGCCGAGAAGAAAACTGTCAACATATTAAGTTCCAGGTGCCGGGATGCACGTCTTCCAAGGTAGTCTGTCTGTCTGTGTCTTAACTTGATTGAGCAGAAGATTACTAATGTATACTGCCCTTACTTTCCCCTCCCCTTCCTCCCAAGTTTTTCTTAACATATTAGCTCATAACTTCTAGATCTACCATCTTTTATCTAACCCCACCCCAACTCGTTTTTTATCATCCCCCCCCCCCCCCCCCCCCGGCTGGGTCATGTTGAATTTCCCTCTCTAAATTGAGAACAAGGACAAGACCTGAGGAGATAAAATCTAGCTTCAGATGACTGCACAATTACTTAAATTTAGTCCAGAGCTCCACTTATGAAATATATTCTATATATCCAGAATCTAATCTAGAAATCTAGATCTAGATCTAGATCTAGTTTTAATCTCGGAGTCAAACGACGAAGAAATTGTCCGTCGTCAGGCATCGAAGTCGTGACATATTTGTATCCCTAAGGAAGGCTAAGGACAGTCATAAGATGATAAAAGCTCGCTAGATCTAGATCTAGAATCAAGATATCTAGAATCTAGAATCTAGTTTTTTAAAGCCATGCAATAGAATCTATCATAAAGCGAAAGTAGATATTTGCCTAGATCTAGATCTAGATTATCTAGATCTAGATCTAGATCTAGATCTAGATCAGAAATCTAGATTATATAGAGTCTAGATTCTGGACTAGTGAAAAAGTGCAAAAAAATATAAGCACAAGATGAGCAGTGGAAACCGTGAGGAAAACAAAACAAAACGAGAACATTTTGAGGCTGAGAATAAATACGTTAGCTAGTAAGGGCAAGGCCTAGCTACTACCTGATCTGTGTCACATAACATTAGCCCCCGAGGGTCATAACACGGTAACCAAACAGCACAGCATTCCTGCATGTACACATGTCCGACCTTTGACCTCACTCTATGCGGGAGAAAATATATCTTCGACACAACCAAATATAAAAACTCATCATATATTCTTCAAATTTTCAAACGTCATGTAAATTCTATATATTGGTACTTTAAACATATTTTTAATTTTGTATCTCTTGTTTTTGCTTTTGTGTTGTGTAATGTCATTATTTTGCACCAATGAACGAGGAGCTTCTACTCCACTTCATCAGGCCAGCAGTTGGTTTCTGCGGAGACGTATCATCAGTCATCAATCACAGCCCACTAACACGGCTATCAAATTAATCGGACTGATCAGGCACCATGGGGGTAAAGTCAGCGACTGAAATCATAGAAAATTCTATGACAGAGGAGGATCCCAATGATAACATTCAATATTCAAATGGATCTATTCCAAACAAACCGAGATGGGGACCTGCACATGCTGGAGCTAAAGAGTTAGCAAGCAAGTACACTGCCGGTAAGTTCAATCAATTCCATGTTCAGTTCGTTTGTCTAGAACGCATAATTTACGAGTGGGTGGGGTCCTTTTTTATTGTGTAAACGCCAGCGGGCTGCGGTAGTGATAATGATAATTATTAGTATCGACTTGTTTTGTTGTGGGTTTTTTTCTTGATAGATCTAGATATTAGATCTAATTGTTACGTTCGATGAGCAAATTAGGGCCTAAGCTTCCTGTTAACTGCTTTACCAGAATATTTTTCATGTTACTCTTAGGTAGAAATCTAGATCGAAATCTCGACTCAAGAGGTACCGGTAGATCTAGATCTAGACTTGATTTCACAAGTAGATTAGAACCTAGATTCTTCTAGATTCTAGATTTAGAACAATAACAGTTGTTCACAGTCACAGCTGAGTATATAACAGTAGATTCTATTTGCCTGTGTCCCATGATTATTCAAGGATGGATTGGTCTTCTTGTCTTAGTCTTAGAGTTAGAGTTAGCTATTATTGACTGTTTTGGATTCTCCAAGACCAAAAATGATTTTTCATTTATCTCTGATAATCAAACTTCAAGGTCAGGGTTAGATTTTAGTAGAGTTTAGGGTTTTAAATTTCTCAATCTTTCTAGGTTCTCTTAATATATAAAACTTCATGGACTTTGTGATGACCCTGTTTAGCATTGTGGAGATTGACTTTGTGGGAATAATTTATCGAAGTGACTATTTCTCCGAACGTTCGGAGAAATAGTGCCCATCTTTATTTCTCCGAACGGTTTCCGGCTTACGATCTCGTGATTTTTTGCCTATTTATTGCGAGAGTTCGGCGCCAACTTTCATTCTGCCTCTGGTCTGGGGGAAGGAACACCGCATGGCAAGCCCGCCTACAGACAACCTTCAGTAACATCCACCACACTCCCACCACCATCATGCACATGTACACACACAATCTTATGCACACACTAACTAAACAAACATGACCAGTGGGCAACTTTTGAATGTATGACGAGCTGAGCTGTGGATGGAGAGACAGTGTGAGTGAAAGAGCGGGTGAAAGGAAGAATGTGCGAGTGTATCCACAGGCGACAACAACTACAAGACGACGACACCGACCCCCCCTGGCCTGGTCCACAGCTCACGAACGAAAGTAATGCAGCTTAGGCCTAGGCAGTGTTTTGCCTATAATATTATTGTCCATGGTTCGCAGGGTGCAAGGGAATGAGTGAGATTTTCTTTGTGTATGCCTGGAGGGAGGGGGTGGGGTGTGAAAGTCATGTGGACGGGGATGAGCCGCGGGAGAGAACACGGGAATTGAATGAATGAGTGAAACTGAAAAAGATGAACGACTCGTGAGCCCTGGAGTGAATGGATCCTGTGTTTCTATTTTTGTATACTTTGAACTGTTACTGAATAAAAGCTGAAATAAAGCCCGAAAAACAAACACACACACACACACTCCTCACTCTCCACTTACACACTTACTTCCACACACAGACACACTCACACACGCGCATACATACACACACACATACACACACACACACACACACACACACACACAGGAGCAAATTTTTGGGTCTATATATCTATTTCAATTTTCAAGAGCTAGTCTAGAGATTTTTAGATGAGTGTAAAAACGTGAAAAAGAAAGGTTTCACAACAGGATGAAATCAAAATTAGAACAGCCCATGATAAACAACAAACATTAACAAATAAGGGCGTGTGTCCACCTGTCCGAAGAAGATTTGCTGTTTTAACCCTAAATGTGCGTAATTTAAAAAAAAAAAGTACAGGATATTACATGTAAATTATGGAATCACACACATTAAGGGGCCTGCCAGTGTCAGTACATTATTGGTCGCGGCAGTGACCACCACAGATGCCAGTTCTATGTGTCGTTATCAATAACCCTCCGTTGATCTAGATCTAGATCTAGACAGCACACGAGTGAACACAACACATAACGTTTAAGAGCAAGCACCCTTCATAGGCAACACATCATATCTGTAGCGAAAAACTGTTTGGAATTGTACCATTCTTTATAAATATTTACTGGGGACATTTTTTGGACCGATTGAACCATATTGTATACGAACAATCTTTGGTAGGCCTATACTATAATTATAGATCTATATATAATATCCGAAATTTGCGGGAAAGGATGTGATTTCAAAGTGTTCGGAGAAATAGTGCCCAGCTTTATTTTCCCGAACGTTCGGAGAAATAGTGCCTAGCTTTATTTTCCCGAACGTTCGGAGAAATAGTGCCAGCCATAATTTATATATCCGGTTTTGGCCCCAACGATGAATATATATATGGGTTTTGGGTCCACCAGCGATTATTTCTGGTTCGGAACGATTACATTTTGCTGCGCGCCAATGCGATGTTTGATAAGCAGCGAGAAAGAGAAAATTTAATGGGAGTGTAGCCTATAACTATAATACAGACCCGGTAACCGGGAACAAAGTCACGAAGTATACAGACCCGGTAGGGGAAATCTTTTGTGATTTCGGAAAGTTTCAGCGCCCTCTTGGCTCAGGGTAGATCTACCTAGTACCTAGGTTCTTCTTGATCTATGGCCTAGGTTTAGATCTAGACAGTTAGTAGACAGACAGACATAAATCATAGATCTAGTTTCGAGGCCTAGATCTAGATCTAAATGAAGACTGCGAATATCTTTTCGATGAACCATCGTTTTTCCTCCGTTTTGGAGTTGGAGGAATCAATTATTGGACAATTTGAAGAAAAGAACAATGTCATAATTTCAATCGAGCAGTCACCCTCTCTATTTCTCTGTCTCTCTCCCCTCTTTTTTGCCTGCCTCTCTCTCTCTATGTATCGCTCGTCTTCTCTTTCTCTTTGTTTGTCTTTGTCTTTCTTTCTCCCCCACCTAATTGCCCACTCTATCTTTCTCTCGTTCCCTCCTGTCAACTGGGGCATGTGATATTTGCTAGCACTTCCCCTGTTCTCTACCCCCTCCTCTCTCTCTCTCTCTCTCTCTCTCTCTCTCTCTCTCTCTCTCTCTCTCTCTCTCTCTCTCTCTCTCTCTCTCTCTCTCTCTCACTCTCTCTCTCTCTCTCTCTCTCCCTCTCTCTCTCTCTCTCTCTCTCTCTCTCTCTCTCTCTCTCTCTTTCTCTCTCTCTCTCACACACACACACACACACACACACACACACACACACACACACACACACACACACACACACACACACACACACACACTATACCGGGTCTGGGCGTGGAAACTTTCCGAAATCACAAAAGATTTCCCCTACCGGGTCTGTATACTTCGTGACTTTGTTCCCGGTTACCGGGTCTGTATACTCTTCAAAATTAAATATCAAATCTAATGCTAATTGCAACTCATCAAAATACATGGGGGCATGCGTTTCTGAACCCTGCTATTTTTATGCCTGTGGCAATGCGTACGGCCGTCCCTTACACCTCGTGGGGCCCTCCTTACGTACGGCCCTTTTCTTTAAGTTTGCTCTCGGCCTTGATAATTGCTCAGCTGGATCGCGTCACATTATCGATCGATATCTTGGCTAAGACAAAGATGGTGTATTTTATAACAAGATAGTTCACTCCTCTATTTAATTTGAGCCAATTAAAAAAGATAAAACTTGCAAAGTCTTTGGTCACTTTTTATAACTTTGACCTGCAATTTACTACATCATTATTAGGTTGTGGGGAATGCCCCTCTTTAAAAAAAACGTGAAATTACTGCTAATTTTTATGTTCCAGTAGCCTACTCTAAGGGGGAAAGCCGGAGAATGCCACTTAAGTTTTATACAGAACTAGATGGGCCCCCTTTCAATGAAAGGAATGATCAACTGAAAGTCCCTGGCCTACTACTATATTTACACTCTACTGGAATGAAGCAATACATCCTGAGAGATGAAAAAAACCAGAAGGTTTAGATAGTGATCTATATTCCGCTTTCGTGGTTGTACACTCCAGAATTTCAAAGCTGTGGAAACAGTGCGCACGGCTAGTGAACAGAAACCTTACTTGTTTACAGAATGGTGTCTTAGGAGACAGACTTTCCCTAGATTAGATCTATACGAAACTAATCATTTGAAAAACTGAAAATTGCACTACAGTGACTTAAGGCTCCTCAATAGAACTGAGCACCCTTTAAATGATTCTGAACCCTCATTGATTTTGTCAAATTCGAAAGTTAAGTGGTTCGGAAGTTTTAGGCAGCCAAAGTGACGGACTTTCACAAATGTAATATAAGTATACAGATACTTGCAGCCAGCAAATAAAATACCATCAAAATTGTTTTACTGTTTTCATTTCTGTGACAGCAACTTAATTCACTGGTTCTGTTGCAGTCTGGGAATCCCAATCTTGCTTTGCTTGCTCTCCCTCAGGTCCTGGCTACACTGACCCCAAACAAACATTGACAATTAAAAGGCCCTTCATGAAGTCTGGTCTTTCCGAATCCAACTTCAACCCCTGTTTTTTTTTGTCAGTGTAAATGCGTGTGAATTGAATGGACATAGTTTCCAACCATAACTATAACTTCTACTTGACTTCAAGTAGTGTACCGAAAGTATGTGTTTGAAGTGAAGAAATTTTAAGATCACATGACATCAAGATAATGATTCAGTTTTTCGCCTTCTCATTTTGTTGGGTGTTTCCTTTGTTCTGTTTTGTTACCCTTTCCCAATTGACCCTCACACTTTAAGCACAGATTTCCCCACTACAATTCATAATTTACAGGTTGAGGTTAAGTAATCTTGGTTTAATCCTGTCCTGTGAAACAAGATTAAGGGGTTACTTTACAGTAATTTCTTGTTGTGAAAAGTGTAGGTGTCGGCAACTAACTTCCTTGAGGGGACTACTAACTCTTTTTCCCCCACTTGTTTGGCAGGAGAATAAATCCTGAATGTTGGCAAAGATGTATTGCTTTGCTCTGATGCAAAGTGCTGGGTTCAATGCCAAGTTGTTGTGGGTTTTGTGTGGTAAATAGAAAAAAAAATTTTGACTTTCTAAATATTAGAGTTGGTTGTCTCAAGCAGCTTTAACCTGGGTTCGAAATTTGAACTGTAGAATAATTTAAGTGAATCAGTCCCAGGAGTTCGGCGGAGGTCAAGACACACTCACACAGTGCAGTGTGTGTCAATTTTTTTCACTCCATTCAACTTTAATGGTTTGACAAGTGCATGTGTATGAAACTTGAATTATGAATTTGTAGCTTAAAAACAGAAAATGATATAATTTTAATGCACTCTCTTTCTCCTTTACACAGAATCCATGAATTCTCATACAACTCTTAATCTTTATCTATTTTTTATTTGTCTCAGAGATTTAATCATTTTATTGTGAGGTTTTGGTCATGAACCATGCAACACCCCATTTTCTTGCTTCTGTTCAGAAAAGGTTTCCCTGTACTCTGAATTTATTCTTTTAAGATGCATGAATAGGAATGAGTCCACTAGGAGAGTATCATAACATTTTGTAGCACAGTAGTGAAAGGACTTCAGCAGGACGGGTTAAATAAAAGTTTTTAAAATCTTTTTCAAGACACTACTAGGGTTAGTCAAAAGCCTCAGTGCCGGGCATGGGTAATTCTCATTGTTTTCTACAATTTTCTAGTACATGCTTGCCTTTTTTTCCACAGACGAATGTTTTGGCATAAAGTGAAACTCTTAGTTTTAATTTAATCAGCTTTTATTTTTGGTGAAATGCTGGCACAAATTTACTACTAAGTTATATGCTCTTGTGAACTATTGCAGATGTTGACGGGCCAAGTGAGAGAACAAGGGGTACACTTTTTTCTCTGTTATTCTGTCACAGATTTATTAACATTTTCCATGATTACCTTTGCAATTGCTTTTTCATTTGATTGATGTTTAGGGAGAAAAATGAGTTTAAAAAAAAGAACAATATTATATATGTGCTGTCGTGGATTCACGATGATGTCTTTGACAAGGTTAGATAAGTGGACTGCTCAGGGTAAGACTCCGTCATGTCACTTTTCACAAAATGGTGATAGTGGAGTCTTACTTAGTAGTCTATATGTTTCTGTTGTTGCAGTTGCTAAGTTACTGCTTTTTCTGTGATTATTGTATGTAGTCTGCCAGCTGTTAAAATGTATAATTGAGCCCAAAATTTTGATTGTTTTTCTTTCCCTTTATTATAAATATGCTGTTTACTAATCTATTATCAGTTGTGCGTGTTCAAGAAATCTCTTGTTGTTGAAATTCCAATTCGAAATGTTGAAAAAAACTAAAAGCAGCACATACAATTGTATTGTTAAAAGAATGAAACAGTTTATCTCTCTTAGTCAATTTTGCTTTCTGGGCTTTGTACATTTGACTTTGAACAGCTTGCTGACGATTTCATGTCACTCTTAGTTATTTTAATTTTATTGCAATGGCACAGGTGGTGCTGCAGTGTGTCAGCATTCAATTGAAATTGTATTTTACTTTGCTTTTATGGATAGTGTCTTGGTAAAAGTTAGAGCACCTAAAGCCTAGAAATGTATGGTCTGTGAGAGACTGCCCCCCTGGCGGACTCAGAACATCAAGAGGGCTTTTTTTTGTTTGTTGGTTGAAAAAGGGTTTCTTTTTTTTCGTTGAAAAATTTATTCTTTGTATTCTGGTTTGAAAGTGGAATGAGACAAATTATACCTAAGCACTATTTTAAGTTAAAATCTCACTGGTAGAATGTTTTGTGTTCAGCAACATTTACTAAAACTATTACTGTGAACTTAGATAAATATATATGTATAAATAATAAATAAAATTGAGGTTCTGTGTATCTATTTAAACAGTCCCTCATCCTATTTTGGAGATTGATGTTAGCAACCCTTGAAATTGTTTTTGTGAGCTCTGGCTAGAATTTTTCTTGAACATTGCAATATATGTGGTTTTTGAACACGTTTTGTTTACAGATGTGACTCCTGTTGCTTTTTCTGGTCAATCGATCTGTAAATGTTTTTCCTAGTCAATTTCCCACTTCCTCAGTAATAGCAGAGACATCTCAGCCTCACTGTAACCTCCTTAAATAGTGACAATTTATTAATGCCTCCCTCCCTGTTATCAATTAGAGAATATAAAACCTCAATAAAAATAAATAATTTTTATGGTGTCTCTCCTCCCGCCTGCCAACTATGTAAACATGGAAGAATTATGGTGATGAGTAATAAAGTAAAGTGCACAGTGTTTACCCTTGTTGCAGATCCACAATTGATTTTATGGTCTGATAAAGGCCAAGCTGAGCTGTCATGACTCCTGAAACCTTCAGCAAACACTTAGATTGTTATAATATAAAGTAGTAAAAGTAGCAACTCCAAGTTCAGTTACCATAGTAAGATAAAACATAAAAAAAAAAAAAAAGAAGTTACGTTGTTAAAGAAAGCACAAATAATTAAGATTTAAAAACACTGAACTTTCACTCTGTTTTGAAATGTTAATTTGCTGTTGTCACAGAAAAGTTTTGTTCCCGTCTCCCTATAAAGCCGTCATTGTTGTTTAGCATGATAACTGTGTATCTCTTTCAGTGAAGACTATTCTTTTTATGTCATCCTTCACAGACTTCTCTCACCCTTTTCAGGTTTTTATAAGAAAAGAAAGGAAAGGCCACCTGGTATGAAAAAGTAGGGTTGTTTCCAAGCTTTTTTGTTGGCTCTTTGTACATTTCTATTTTCAAGATGTCCTGGCTTTAAGTCCATTTTTCATGGGTTTTTTCTTTTTAATTCATGATTATTGTGTGTTCTCACAGTTGATGCCTGGTTCATGCTTTGAGAATCAGAATTTAGGCGTATATATATATATATATATATAAATACTTGTAGGGATGGGTTTTGTTCTTTTCAGTGCTGTGTTGTGTTTTGATTATTTTGAGAGAAACAAAGTTTTCTTTGAGTTTGAATTGGGATTGTCAGCCATTGTGGATTTTTAAAGATTCAGTTTTGTGTCCTTTGGTGTTAAAAGGTGTAAGGGTGACTGAAGTTTTATTTTCAAAATTTTTTGTTGCGTTGCAACTCTGATTTGAATTCAGTCAAACATGCTCTAATGCCTGTCTGTACTGACAGCCACTTCCCATTTCCTCCCTTGCATATATTTTTAAACATTATGATGTCATCTGTCTAAGATGGACACTTCTCTTTTTGACAGTGGTTGGCCATCTTAAACAATTTCTACTTACTCAGTTTTGACAGAGATGAATGGCTTCTCCCTGTGTTGTGTTACATTATTTGCTTTCATCACTTACTGTACCGAAGGCTCATGTAGTGAAAAACCCTCAAGTACCGCACCAGTTTAGAATGCCAAAGCCATGGTAGAATGTTTTTCAATAAAGAAAAACCGTGGCAGCCTAAGAAACATGCTGTAAAAATTCATAGAAGTTCATCAACCATTCTCAGCTATCATACAGGTATTTACTTCATAGTGCGCCCATTCGTCGTTAAATGATGTTTTGTGTGCGTGGTTGCAGCGGCGACTAAAGTCACCAGCTGTAGTGGGCGCTTACTATGGCCTGGCATCTAAAGTCGCCGATAGGTAGGGGCCTACTGTAAGTGTTAACAGTAAAAAAGGGACTTTTGAGAGGATGTTATTGTAAGAAGCAATTGTTCGCCACAGTTACATGTTTCTGCCCTCTTTACATAGGCACAGAAAGAAAAATGTGATATAACGTTGGGCAAGGAGTTGTCATTTCCAGTGTCATGGCTTTGTCCTCAGGCACTATATGGTGGTCACGGCTTTGCTCCTTGCATAACGTTATGTAGTTTTTGTGTAACCTTTATTTGTGATGTTTTATGATGATCATGAAAGTGAAAGAGCGCTTTTGATGGGTTATTCAGATTTTGTAGTCTAAACTTTATTTTTTTTTGGTGGATGAATAAGAAAAGGACTGGAATTTTGTTTATGAAAAAGCAGAAAGCATAATATTAACAGGGTTGGCTCTTTAATGTGAAAGCTCATGTTTTGGGGGTTTTTTTGGAGGGAGGGGAGAGAGATTTTTTTAGGGCGAAGAAAAGAAGGGGGGGAGGGTTATATATATGAATAGGTATTTTAATTTGTAATAATTCCTTTTATCGTTATCGTTTTAGTGGGTGGTTGTGTTGTAGAATGCTGGTAATGGGGTTTTACATTTTTGTTGTTGTCTGTTTATTTTTTCTGGCCGGCACAGAATTTCTTTTTTCCTCAGAGCTAATAATGACATGAATATGATTCTATTGTGATTCTCATTTTTGAATGAATGCATGGGTCTTTTTTTTTTTCAGGGCTTTGTATGTCAATTTATACAGGTATCATTATGATAGGATTGGAACAGGTGCAGTTCTTCCTACACATCTCTTTCTTTTTAAAACAGTGGTGTTGAATGTGTTCACTGTCATGTGAGCTGTTCAGGACTCATTTTTGTTTCTCTTTTTCTTTGTCATTGAAAAAATTGCACTTTTTTTCCTCTTCAGGGAAGCGGTTACAAGAAACAATTTGCCTATTTTTGAGCATAGCGCTTCTGGCTGTGAATTTTGTGTTCCTAGCCGTGTACTTTGACCCAAAACAGTGGCACATGGTACTTTTATGTGCAGGTAAGTTTAAGTCATTTTGTATGGGATATTATTTTACTTGTGCTAGCTTGTGTTTGACATTTTAGAGTGAAATAAAGCTATGGTTAGCTCTTTGACGAAATGCATGCTTGTTATTCAACAACACTCAAAGGCACACTGTTTTGAAGTATAACCTCAATGTATGTCGATTTTTTAGCCCTTTTAAAATTAATTTTAGACAGTAAAAGACAAGAAACAACATGTATACTATGAAATGTGCAAATTCGTGTTTCTGATTTGTGAACGAAGGTTCGATATGTGCTGCAACCTTGCCTTTGGTCTGCTGCGGGTCAGACCTATGCTTCTACGATGTTCTTAAAGCAGTAAAATTGAAATGTTTTGTGTTCTGCGCTCATGTTGTTATGATTTGAAAGAGAAAGTGACTTTGAAATATCTTTGAACCTGTTTTAAGACATTTCTTTGTTTGTAGTGTCAGTAAGGATACCATTTATTTTTTAAATAATAAGTCATAGGCTAATTGTGAAGGTTGGTAAACAGTTGTTTTTTTTGTACTTTTGATGTCATTCTCTGTCCCCACACTTGTACACATGCTAGTTTTCCCTTTTCTCACTTGGCACATAGAGTGTAAACTGGACTCAGTTCATGTAGGTACATTTTAGTCAATTTTTGGTTTTTGACTGGATTGTAATTTAATTTGTGTATGGTAGTCGTTTTAATTTTTAGCTTTTTCAAAAGAAAGCATAGATATGTGTTTGCTTATTATTCTTAAGATTTATTTTCTGTGCTAACTAGAAATCACTCTCAGGCTACTCTATTACCAGATATAGCTAGAGTCGCAACTTTGCATCTTGCTTTGAAAATGTCCACCTTTACTTAATGCCAACAATGGAAACATTTTCTTTCCCACAGTTCTTGGCATCCTCTCAGCTGACTTTGTAGGTGGACTGGTACACTGGGGTGCAGACACTTGGGGTACAGTGGAGTTGCCCATTGTAGGCAGTGTAAGTGATGTTACGTGTTTGAATAATAATCGTCACTTTCTTTCTTCTTTTACTTTGATTTTGAATGAGGTAGTATGGCACCACAAGAAAATTATTAATAACAATGCTTTTTTACTGGCATTGCCGAGCACGGTAAAAGGAGTTACTCTCTTTTTTAAACCCTTATTTGTAGCCGCCAACTAGCAAAAAAAAATAATGTAGTAAATACATATTTGAGGGTCTCACTACGGAAGTCTGTATTAATAATCGAAGAAAACAATTTCTCTGTTTTCTTTATTACTGCCTTTATGGACTTGCCGACACTGAAGGAAAAATATGAACTTTCAAGACTGGGTTTGTGAATAATACTGGAAACAAAGATCATGAGTCAATTTGAGAGATTGTTTACTGTAGGTCTACTCAAGTAGCTTGAAGTTGTTGAATGCTGAAAATGTATGTTAATGGTTTTGAGGAGTTTACTTGACTGGTGCCCACCAGCTTGACCTGTTGGTAAAGTGGGGGGGGGGGTTGTTTTGGAAAGTTGGCAGCTATGCTTGTAGTTACTTACATGTAGATACTTGTATATTTATGTACTTACATTTTCAAGCTTGTTTCTTCCTCCATCTTATTCCGATTATGTATACTAGACTTGTGTGCAGTGCAAAGTATTTTGCCACGGGTGAGGTTGTTGATGTGTGGTTGTGATTTTACTATTTTTATTCCCATCTTATTATACTTAACAAGTGTAAAATAAATTATGTGTTTGGTGGGTCATTCTGAATTAGTTAAAGTTAAAGTTCTTGTTGTCTTTTCAGTGCTGTTACTGATAGTTTTTGTCCTAACCGAAATGCTGGGGAATATGGAGGCCAATGTGGGAGAAATATTTTGTTACAAGAAGATTTCCATCCCTTGACTCTCGTTCAGATTATGCTCTGATTGCAGCGCCTTTTGTGGCTTGGTATCTCCGCACAGTGCAAACTCCACTTCAGAATCTGCATGTAAGAATAGTCATGCAAGGCTCTGTGGTGGTGTCTCTTTTTTAAAATGTTTATATGTTTTTTTTGTGGTTTTTTTAGGAAGGAGGTGTTCTTTTCTTCAAAATTGGTTGTTGGTCGGTGCTCTGGTGTGGTGTGCTCCTTCTATTTGTTTTTTGGTTAACAGTAGTAAATCAGTTCCTGGTTGAGTATAGCAGTTATCAGGCCTGCTCTGTCTGAACTTGCACTTCACAGTAGTAGCTTCTCAAATCATCCTCTGGTCAGGGTCATTTTCATGCTGCTCTCTCTTTGGGATTTCCCTTTGTAAGTCATGTGGTCAGTGTGACTTTTAATGATCATGTAGATTTTACGTGAGTTGTAACATCTGTGGTTTCTATCCTTACTACTTTGACCCATTTTCGCAATACAGCTGGATTTCTGCAGAGGGATGAGAGTGAATCAATTGTCAGATCACTTTATGAGGGATAAAGGTCAATTGATGTACCCGTTGTTATCTGAGGGTATCTTGTGCCACACGTCTTCCTGTCGTGGTGTATGTCTAGATAACTTCTGATAACAGGCCAATGGCATAACGTTTTTTTTTGTGTGCGCTTGTGATGTCCGTTTTATGCACGTTTTCTTAAAGAGATAACGTGTTAATTTGTTTGTTTTTTAAAGTGGGTTACTCTCGATGCTTTTTTAACCAAAAAATTGGATCAGTAGAATTCAAAATTTTATCTTCTGCATTAAAGTCCTGATATAATGTTATCTGTGCTCACCGCTGTTATGAAATCTGCAGATATTGGTGTTAAGCTCAACTGGTCGTCACCCCTCAGTCTATGTTAGAGAGTTTTTGACCTGTTCATTCCCTCCCCAGTTACTTTTTTAAGGACAAAGATAACTTTTTCCTGGATGAATAATTGTATTTTAAACATTCTTTACCTTTTTTGCCAGATGTTTATAGAAGAACTGAAGAAAGGCCATATTAGAAAATTGATGTGGAACATAATATCGGTAGGCATGTTTTTCTGGAGCTGTCAGGTTTTGATGAATGTGAAGAGTTGCAGTTGTTTAGTGTCTCAGTTATTTGAATTCCAGAAGTGTGTTCGTTCTCTTCTTTTTATGCTAGGGTTTGCATTTTGAAAACATTTTAGGGAGCTTTTTGTATTTATTATCATAAATATTTATTTAGCTGCAGTCTTTGACTGAATTGGAGTTTGTTTTTGTTTCTTTGAGTTGGGGTTTGTTTAGTTGTTTGTTGTTGGTTTAAAAAAAAAAAGAAAGGACATGGTTGTTTCTAGCTTTTGTTCCACTTTGGCTCTTCTGGGGTTGTTTTTTTTCCTACTGTAGTACTCTTATTGTTTAGGCTTTGACATATTTTTTGCTCCAAAAACTCAGGTGTTTTGATATAGAAAGCTGCTAAAAGACAGGAGGAAGTTGTATTTGGCCCTCCACCGCTTTAAAATTTGCCAGCACTTGCTAGTACCATATAACTGGTAAAGAGTTTTTCCAGTGAGCGTTCTTATTTGCAGGCACTGTTGATGTAGTTTTAGTATGGGATGGCATGCCTCTTTACACTGATGCTTTCCGTCCTTAGTTTTAGGGGTTTAGTGGGGGGGGTTCTGCCTTGATAGTTATTTTTCTATGATGAAGCATAATGTACATCACTCACATGGAATAACACAATGTGTCAGATGGATGCATACATGCTAAATAGTATTCTAAAATTTAGGTAATGACGATGTAAGTATTTTTGCAGGGTGTGGATGGGGGTGGAGGAGGAGGGAGGATTGCTCTAAGTTCTGTCTTCATTGCAGTCTTTCATTCCTTTCATTTCAGGGCTTCATTCGTCCCTTCCGGGAACACCATATAGATCCTACCTCAATAACCCGCCATGATTTCATAGAGACCAATGGGGACAATTTTGCAGTGGTGATTCCTGGCTTGGCCTATATGCTGTATCAGTTTCTGACTTGTACTTCAGTGGAAATAGCAGATTCTTACAACTGGAAAATGTACCTGTATTTGCTGGCTGTTTTTGCAAGCCTCACAAATCAAGTAAGTGTGATAATAATGTATGAGTGTTCTGGACAGATCATCTCACTTGTTTCAAATATTTATGTTTTTATTTCCTCTTCTGTTTAGAGGTCTGACTTTTCTCTACTACCTTCTAGTATTGATCTCTATCCTCATGCTTCGTTCCTCAACTCTTCTTCCTATTTCTTCTTCAAGTGTTTTACTTCACTTTCTAAATACCAAAACAAGCGTATATGCTTGAGGAATATGTCATTACTTTCATCTCCCTGTAAAAACACATAGTAAGTTGTCAGTTTAGTCTTTACCTTTAACTGTAAATACATTTCCAACTGTGTACGACGACACAAATTAAAGGTAAGGGGCTATCAAAGGGTAGAAAGGTTGATATTCACTTTGAACAAAATAATATTCTACATTGAGCTGAAGAAACGAAGACACACCACCTGATATCAAGGTTTCTCTGTATGGATGCTCTCAATAGTGGGTGACCTGAAAGAGTTCTGTCAGTCAACAGTATCTACTAAATTGTCTTCGCATTTTGAGATCCCCAAAGTTCTCTAATTTCTTTCTTTTTTTTTATGGGTCAGGCTCTGCTGGGTTCTAGGAAAAATGACTTTTGAGATCCTTTTGGTGTTTATTGCTTGGTAGACATTGGCTTTGATCCCACAAAAAACTTATAGAAACTCTTCAATTTTTCTGCCTCCTCCTCCTCTCCCACTGTAATAATTATTCATTGTACATGTAGCTCATACTCCCCACTGGTGTTCCCAGTGTCACAAGTGGTCACACACATACTTTGGACTGCCATGGTACATTGTGAAGCTGCAGGACATCCACCTGCTGCTGCCCCGCCGCCATCACCGCATCCACCACGTGGCTCCTCATGAGACCTACTACTGCATCACCACAGGCTGGCTCAACTACCCTCTGGAGGCCATCAAATTCTGGCCCACCTTGGAAGTGCTCATAGAGACGCTGACCGGCTGCAAGCCACGCAGTGATGACATGGCCTGGGCAAGCAAGACCCAATGATGACCTGCTACATTTTTATAAATATATGTATAAAAATTTATTTATACACAAAGCTGCTACTCAGCAAATGGAGTCAAAAGACTAAGATCAAAGACATCGGTGTATGTATTGAACGGTAAAAGTCATTCATCTTCAGCTGACACCTTTTTTAATGTCATTTGTTGCAACAATCTCTACAGTGGTGTTTGTCGGTCCATATTTTCATGCTTACTCAGATAAGTGCTTCAAGCCATTGGCTGCTACTTTGTATGTCATGTCTATTCATGGAGAAAATGCTTTACACAGAAAACAGAGATGAACAAAATCATGTACAGGTGCAAGATTGCTGCGCCCTAACTGTAGGTGACCAATTGTTTAACTTTAAGAGGAATGCTTCTGTGTTGCCATTTCATGAAAGGATTGTTTAAAAAGATCAAGATGTCAAACATTGCCGTATGCAAATCAGAGTCAGCACCAGTGTCTGATAGTACTAATAATTTTTCAGAAGTTAATACTTTACTTGCATACAAGCATATGAGCTGCATTCGCTACTTTCTTTATCCTTATTGTGCCTGTCATTTGTTTTGCCTATCTACTTATGTATGAAAGGAGCACTCCAAGGGCTGCTGTTGTCAGCAAGTTAGAATAGTTGGCCACAATGATTATGTATGCTTGCCGGTCTCAATTTGCTCAATATCGACAATGCTGCATGTGTCTCACATTTAAAATGTGTCTCACATTTTTGTTTTAATCCTGTATCCTTTTGAACTTATTTTTTGCCCAATAAATCTCTTGGAAATCGCACACGTTAAAACGCCTGAAAGCTTTTGAGAAGCACAAATTGCTTTTGACTACATATGAGTGCCACAAGATCTCTTTAACAAAAAAAAAAAAATCTTACTTATCTGTGATCAGCTTTGCAGAGGCTATTATTAATACTTATTATTCATAGTATCCTGCTGGTGCCCAAATCTTAATTTTTGAAAATGTCCAGTATTTCAATGTTTGAGTCCTGCTGTCACTGTTTAAACTTCTGTTGTGATCTTAAAAATTCTTTCTTAATTCTGTGACCTTTAGTCCTTATCCTTAATAGCCTCCCAAAAAGTTGTTAAACAATTTTTCTCCAAGGCTTCACACTTAACTCCTTTCTAAAGTTGAAAAACTATACACTTAAAGAGGAAGAAAGGTGATGTTTGAGTGGAGTGGATCAGATGAAGAGATTGTTTGTTCTCTCAGCTTTTGTCACTGTAGATGTATTTGATGTTGACTGATACATATATATATATTAATACAACCTTGTGGATATTATGGTTTGGTTGATGTGATTACATGTATCTGGACCTCAAGATCAGTCGATATTTTAATGAGCTTATTTTTATTCTGAATGATTTGTGAATATACATTTGATCGCATACTTGACTTCATTCTCATTGAAGCTGTATCATCAGTGTAGCCTACTTAAGTAATATTGTTTTTGCTTTGCTTCCATATACTTGTTCTGTGGCCATATGCTTTGTGTGTGTTCTCGATCGGCATATATTTATAAACTATCCAAACACATATATGAACTTGTGCCTTCATAGCATTGTGACAAGGGTGAAGAGATGGTTCACCATTAGCTTGTTCACTGGCCTCTGTTTCCAAATCTCTCCAATGTGCTTGTTATCCACCAGTACATCATATAATGTAAGCTATTTTGTGGCTGAAAATACGTTGAGTTTGTTCTTAGTGAAAATGAGAATTTCAGTATAATAGTAAATTAACACACGACATGGGGAGACAACAATGAGTTTGACATCCCCTGATCACGTTGCACAGGCTAGTGCACTATCTGACCTCATTTTAAAGCAGGTGTCACTTTAGAAGCCATGTACATGGTTCTATTCCTTCTGGTTTTCTGGCAAACTTACTTTGTTGGAAGTAGTTCCATAATCTGATGTTTGATTCTAGTATTTGTGGATTGTTTAGGATATATCTTTGTTGAGACTGGAGTTTAAATGGCTTATTAGAACTTGCAAGTTGCAAGACATATCCTTGATAGATGGAAGGTACACAGTGAGGAACAAAATTGAACTCGATAAGTCACACGAATAGTCAGCTTCTGAATGGAATTTAGATTAGGAAAAAAAACACATTTATTGGTGCCGGCATTTTCATGAGCATTTTAATGAGCCGAATGGTAAGCAGGTACGATACAGGTCCTACCTCTGTTTCAGCTGTGTTAACAAGATTTAGTAACATTAAGTATTGGCAGTCTTGTGGTAAGATGCTCTCTTCTTTGTTACTTTGTCTATATAGATATATGTAATATATTTGTAAGCTTCTGTAATTTTTAGCTATAAAAAAGGAGTCTACGCTCTCTTTGCTTTGTGATGTTGAGGTAACTCTCAGGCCAGTCTTAAGTCACACAAGATAGGAAAAAATAGTGACATATACTGAACCTGAAAATATATTTTTGTGGTGTCTGTTTAGTGGAATGTCCTGTTCTTGTGCAGTGACTCTTGGTCTTGTGTGTAATGTTTTGTGTTTGGGATGTGCTCTGGGGGAACTCTTGTGTGTTGTACCCGTGCTGCTGCTTGAAAAGTTTTGTGTAGCAGTGTTTTGATATTCTGTTTTTAATCTATACATACATATGCCAGATGTTCCCTTTGAATCAATACTAAACTTCCTGTGATGTTCTCACCTCTGCCAAACAAGTCAAGCCTTTCCAGAACCTCACCATGAGGAAGTCAGTATTGTGTGGCTGGCTGTTTGATACAACATTGCTCATCATGTGCTTTTAGCAAGTATTTTTGGACCTTTTCACTCGGTTCATATTCCTTGAATTGTGTGTTTCAGCTGAGACAGTGGTTGTGGTTGGTTGGGAGAGCTGTCTGCTTGTTGGAGTGACAAGTTCTTTAGACAAGGGAGGGGATTTCCTGTTTGTTTGATGTATCACCTCTGTTGGGGGTAGTTAGCATAATGTTCAACTGATCTACATGTATACTGGTTTAGAAGTCTTTTTGACATGATGTAGATGGATTTCAATTCCTTGAGATATGCTGTCTCAGTCATAAGTAATATAAATGTAACTGTGTATGCTAACCAATGATGTGGAGTTTTAATTTGTTGTAACTCATGAAACAAGCTGTGAAATGGTCGGTATATCGGGTATTGGCTTAAATTATTCTAAAAATTCTTAGATTAATGGGAAATAAAGAGTGAGAGTGTCATCAGCTTACAGTTACTGCTGTAGAAATCTGATCCAATGTTATCCATAGAACTGGGACAAAAATGCTGCCGTTAAAGAGATGTATTTGTAACCAATGCCAAAGTAGTACGAAGGCTGTCATGCTTTGATTTTAAAAGATTAAAATTTGTTTTCTTCAAGAAGCAATCTCATCTTGTATAGGTCCAGTCTATATCATCACTCATGTTTTTCATGTCAGACAAACAGGTTTATAACGTGATGCCAAAGGTATTTTTAAGCAAATTGCATTCTTTATGTGGTATATTTTAGAAATAAGACAAAATATGTTTTAAACTCCAAGTTGAAAGGCATGGGGGTTTGAGATTTTCTTGCTACTTCAAGTCAGAAGCTCTCCGTGGTTTGATTCGTGTCTTGTATGCAATGAAGGAACAGTGTTCACTCTGTGACCTTAAAATGCAAAGTCTTTACTCTGTATTTCACATAACTACTGTGCACCAAATATTTAAAAATCTGTACAGGTCGCACATTTCACACAAGATCTCAAGACTATCTTTTATGAAGAGCACTACAATTCATCCACCGTATTTAAGTTGCCCATAAGTTCTGTTACGAGATGTACTCACGTTTATATTAGGAAGAACTTTTGTTCATACTGACTGACTGAACTACAGTGTGCAATAAAATGTTGAATCCTTCAAATTAATTTTCAAGTCATTTATTGGTTTATACTTACACTTTTGTTAATTTGTAAGTTCACTTCTGATAGGTTTTGTTCCTGGGTCGGTACATTTCTGTGCGTCCACGTATACTGCTACACTACTGTCTGTATGTTACTGTTTTCTTGTTATTAACAACAGGGGTAGTTAAGAGATACGTGTCAGAAAGACCATTCCCACTGGAATGGTTTCTGGAATTTTAAATGTTCTCTCGTTATTTGTTTCAACAGTACAGGCACATTTTCTAAGTAATTTGGCAGGTAATTCATATAAAATATATGATGATTATGGTAATAAAGAGGGTATTTTTTGTTTATGAAAGGAGAACATTTTTATGTTGATTCCTGTCTTTGGAGTCTTTTGGTTCCCATGTTGATTACAGAGTTTTTATGAGGAGGCTGTTAACTTGGTTTGGGACTGTTGAATATATATGTCAGTGAAAAATGTTTGAAATGATAACTTATATATTTGCTGCTTTTTATCTACGCTTACTTTGTCTTCATCCTTTCAAGTGTGACAACATGCTTAGTGACATGCAATAAGATTCTGTGCCCAGGCACGTGAAGATTTGCCTTAAACTCCGTAAGCATCCTGCGAAAGCAATATGATTGTCTGTGTATGCTTTGTTTCTTTTAAATTTTGGACTATTTCACTTTTTTTTTTACACACATACCTGTGCATGTAAAGCCATTGATCAAAGCTGTGTCTATTCTTGAAATGTTGTTTCCATGATTAGTTGTGCTAAAGTGACAGGTTTTTAAGTATTTAGACTTTTGCTATTTTGGTATGTTTGTATTCTCTTTGGATAGCTGGTATAGCAGATTGTTAAACCGAAACTGATTTGGTTAGCATGACTAAGTTGCTCTTTCTTTCTTTCTTTCTGTCTCTGTCTCTCTGTCTGTCTCTCTCTCTCTCTATCTATCTATATATATCTATAGTTTATCTTGTCTATAAAATATTTCCGTTTGTTTGGATTTTTATTGTTCGCTCATTGAAAAAAAAACACATTTCATTTTTAAAAATTGATGGTGACCTTTGTGTCAGCTTTGTTGTTTTCGTCTCTGCTTTTATTCTGACATTCTGAACTAAAGGTTGTATTTGTAGGTGACTCTTGAGTTTCAGCAACATCTTCAGTTCAATCAAGACAGCTGTTTTATCACAGAGGTGAAATAGTACCCTGTTTGGTTTTTTTCTATAAATGTCCAGAACATACGGGCCTCCTTCAGGGAAATATAATCCGACTTTTCCTGAGCATGTTATGAAAACCTATTTATATATATATATATTTGCTTTAAGGTACATATTTTAAAGATTTGTTGTTTTATGTGCATGGTGTTGTGCTTTAGAGAAAGAAGCATACCGTCTATTTTGTGAAGAAGGACAAAAGCCAGCCGTTGGTAATTTAGGGGAAAGTATTGGTTCCAGTCTCTTGCCGATTTTCAAATTTTCAGATGCTCAGGTATCTTCCTCAAACATCGCAAAATTTGACTGTTTCCTACGCACACCTTACAGCACACCTTACAGGATTTCTAGTCTGTATATTTCATAATGTGTCATTGACTTGTAAATAGCTATTCTGTATACTTAAGGTCCCCCAAAAATCAGATCAAGTTCTAAACAGATGTCACCACAGTAAGCATAGCATGGTTATTATTTTTGGTCTATGATGTGGTGCAGTTTTCATAGGTATTGAGGGATAACTGTTCAGACGTGTGTAGAAATTTCTATCAGTGCTACTATTGTGCATACATGAGTTTGAAACGCGATTGTTCGTTTGATTGTTGTGGGGAATCTATGTTGATTACATTCCATGTTCTGTTTTTCGTTAATACCAACCTGTTCCGACTGTTTTCCTGTTTGTCTTTCTCCAGCTATCTGCTAATGTGACTCTTTACTCTCTCCAGCAAGTGAAGGTCAGGTCAGTTTGAAGGAGCAGTTGGTTCATCAACTACTGTTCTTTTCAACTAAAATATTATCCGTCATTTAGCTTCTCATAATGTTATCAAACATTCAGCTTGTTAATCTACTCACAAGCAAAAGTAAAAGTAACCCCCCCCCAAAAAAAAAAATTTAAAAAAAAAAAAAATTAAAATGACCATAATTTCATTGGTTGATATCTGTTCTCTCTGAAAATTTAAGTTTTCAAGATTTTGTTCTAGTGTTTTTCTTCTCTCACCCCACCCACCCTCCCCCCCAATTTTTTGGTGAATTTCGTATTGCTTAACTAGTGATGAGGTGTGTCTTTTTGTTATTTTATTCATACATTTTTATCAGTTTTTTCTCAGGCACCTAATTTTTTCTTCTTTTCAAAATTTTCGGTGTTGTTAACGGAGGGTGTGTTTTGCTTGTGTTTAAGAAATATGTCAGTTGTTTATTTATTATTTGTATGCCAGTTTGCTAAGAGACTGTCAAGCTTTCTTTCTGTATTGAGGGTCAGGATTTGCGCGCAGTCGTGAAAGAAAACAAAATATTGTTCTTAATTTCTCTACACCTGTGCCAGTCAATAGTACACCTGTGTGGGTCCCCTGCTTGCAGGTGCTCTTCCCTTTTCTGAGACAAAGAGTCTACATAACAAGAGGGGCCACTTCTCTCTTTGAGCCAATTAAAAACGTGTCCTCAAAATTTGGTGGCGCCCTCTTCACAAAAGCGCACTCTTTGCGAACAGAGTTACCCTACTTGAGTTTTTAAAAATTAAAGTGAAACGAGCATGTTTTGGGATAAATTTCGGAGGAACGCTTTTTTAAAATGGTTACGCTGACAAAAAAAAACTCTTCCGGAGGAAAGGGTGATGGTTTTCTTCGTTTAATTTGACTTAAGAATGAAAGGTGAGAGGTCATTAAAATTTAAAAAACCCTAAAACTACGCACTGAACGTACCCGAACTGCTGAGGAATAGCAGTGGATCTGCGCACGCAAGGAGGTGCTATTCCTACTCTTCTTCTGGAAAAACGAAAGAGAGCTTCAAAACAGACTGCAGCGCCATCTGAAGCAAAGAGCGTATTTCCTGCGGACACTTTCTTGGCTGAGTGGCCCATCTTGTTATGTACTATCATTGTCTGAGATCCAGATCCCAGCGGGATGGACCCATTTGAGTGTCTCCCTCGAAGACTGCAGAAATGGTAGTTTAATGTGTGGCTGTTGTTTCTAGTTTCTTTTGCTAGGATTGGGCTTGTAGTTTTCAAGTCACTGCACTAAAAGTGGGACCTCCCGCAGCAGTCAAAACAAAATGATCTTAATGAAAGAGTGAAGGACTGAGCTCTGCTTTCCTCATAATGGATATTATTTCCTCATAATGCATGGGGCACAATGATATAATTTATAATGATCTATTCTATGCTTGTAGGAACTGTCTTTTCTTCTTTTTTTTTAGGGGGGGGAGGTTGGGTGGGTTTTATTGTTTGTTTTTGCAATCACAAAGAAGATGTAAAACAAACAAACAACTGTTTTTATTGTTTATATCATTTTTGTTATGCCATCAGACAAGAGTAAAAAAGTTATAAACATTATGTATGTATGAG